GGCATGCAATTAAACCAGGTTCAACCCACCATTTTTTCTTGAAATGTCCTGTACCAAGTCAGGAATATGGCAGTTGTTATCAAATAGTTCGTTTCTATGTATGTTGGCATTTGTTTTTGTTGCACTTCAATGTTCCTGTTGTTACTTTGTTTTCCTCTTATAGTTGATGTGTTTCCCTCGGTTTTAGTTTGTAACCCAAATTTGTTTGCTCTCAATCGATTTATGACTTTTGAACACCGGTATACTTCTGTTGTCTTTATATATGAACTTTTTGTTTCAAACGCTTTCACATATTGAGCTGATTTAAAGTATGTGAGGCTACTATGATGAGTTACAGATCGAGTTACGGTTGGTTTCGCTCCGCTAATTTGTACCGAAATAACGGGCTTTGGACTTTGAAAATTTCATGAAAATAGCAGTTATACGGTCTTTTTTTCTAAACGCCTTCACATATTGAGCTGAATTTTTGTATGTAAGTTGGCTATGATTAGTTACAGATCAAGTTCACGTTTGGATCCGCTCCATTGATTTTTGCTGAAATTACGAGCTTTGGACTCTGAAATTTTCATGAAATAATTGAGCTGATTTTTAGTATATAAGTCTACTATGATGAGTTACAGATCGAGTTCTCCGCTGAATTTTTGCCGAAACAACGAGTTGTGGACTTTAACCATTTTGTGTATAAAACAGTTATGTGGACTTTGTTTTAATTTAATGCCTTCACATATTGAGCTTATCTTAGTATGTGCGTCTACTATGATGAGTTACAGATTGAGTTTATGTTTGGTTCCGCTCCATTTCTTTTTGCTGAAATTACTGGCTGTGGACTTTGAAAATTTTGTGAACATAATAGTTAGACAGACTTTCATTCTCAGATTTCCACTCATAAAAATGGTTTCAAGCTTTTTTTTGCAAAAGGGGCCATTCGTGTCGTTGTGACACATCTAGTTATATATATAAAAAACTGTTTCGATCCAGAACCCTTAACCAAATGTATTATAAATTGCAATGACAAGTCCTTTCCATGACACTATTTGTTCAGGAATGGGACCAAAAACAACCACCTCAGATCATAAATTGTTAAATATATAGAAGACAGTTGAGTTCTCCACCAGTAACAATATATATTGTCATTGCAGTACTTTGCAGTACTAGTATGTATCTGCTGTGCCTATTTGTTTACTGGTTTGACATCTATACATGCTATAAATGATTGGAAGACATGTTTTTATTACTTTACAATAAACCGACCTAATTAATAATGAAGTACACACATATGTCTGATGGGGGCTGTATTTTAATTATATTTGTTATATGTTTTTCTGTTAAAGCCCGCTTTATGTTAATACGGTAATGCAAGTTTTTGTATTCCTTTCTAATAAAATTCATCATGTATTTGTGAATTAAGATAAATGAAGATAAACAAAACAAATGTGACAATGAAGATCAAAGGACTTTTAATACGCTGATGTTGCCGTTCAAATAAACCCAGTTATTAATTGTGAATCAAAGCAAGACGTCAGCGACAATGATGATCACATGACTTATAAGTAGCAGATTTTATAAAAAGATAGATAATATTTTTGTAACTTTGTCTCAGAAGATAAATTCCATGTCCTTCAAATTTCTTTCAATTTTCATTTAAGCATTGCAACGTCTATCTCATCTATTGTTTTCCATTCGTTTGATGTGTTTGGGCTTTTGATTTTGCCATTTTATAAAGGACTATCCGTTTTGAATTTTCCTTGGAGTTTGGTATATTTGTTATTTTACCTTTCATCCAACACTAATCGTAGTAACAGCAAGTGTTCCGATATAGACATGAATTTATCGGTAATTCGTTCATTTTTCCTTTGATGTGTACTCGCTGATAATGTCAGTATCAGTGGTTTGGTCGTGAAAAAAAAAATATTGGGTCAGTTTGCAATTGACATGCGCGAGTGCACCGAGTAAGGATCTACTTTTCCTTTTATTCACAAAATCGCGCGTGATTTGAACAGAAAATGTACGAAAAACCCGATAAACTTAAAAAAATTGCGTTATCTGCAGTATTATTTATAGCTTTCCTTACTATTCACAAGGACGTATAACTAACATATCGTCCATGCTATATTCCGATCTGAGTTTTTATTCATACATAGTCTGGTGCTGTTCCAAGTTGTCTTCGTTTTCTGTTTCTTGAGAAGTATTTGTTTAACCTGTTCAGTCACTATAAAGTGTTACAATTCGTATTTAGACGCAACACATAACAGTAGGACAACCGGATGTGCCTTTTTTGCCAAAATGTGATTTGACGGCGCTCAGTAGTCCTCCGCGAAATATTGGACTATTTTGCGTCGGCCGACGTCAACTGAAAAATGGCGCGCTTTTGTAATTTTTCTTCATTCGTACAGATATAATTATTAGCTGTTTCTAAAAAATCACCGCCTCGACATTTTTTTTATACTTTCATATAATAATCCTTGGTACATAATGTATATGTTATGAAAAAAGTAGGCACTTCTATCGAGTAGAAATGGAGAACGGTCATCTTTATTTTATATGTCCCCTCTATGGGGGCGTGGTACTCCTTTAACCTTGTTTCTGAAGTACACGATAGCTATTCATCTCTCGAAAATAATTATCGACGACAAATTATTGAAACATAACAAATATATTTTAAGACATCAATAAGATATAAATGCTGGTGATTTTTTGAAGCAGAATTGCCGGAATCGACCTTAACCGAAGTTGTGTCATTGTATAGATCAACGTTGTCTTTTTCCGGCGCCGAAAATGTCATCGTAAAATGTCATTAAAAGCTGGATATTTTTCTTTTTTGTAGCAATTTTGTTTATCATAATGTCAAGGAAATCATGCGATATGGTGAATCCATATCAACGTTATACCAAAAAAGGCCGAGCTTGGTAAAATAACAGCTTTATGCCTACATAAACCTTATATGTCTTTGACATCATACTTCGTGAATCCATATTTCTTTCGTGAATATTGTTACCTGCCGATGAGTTTTTTCTGAACATCTACTCTGAATAGGTCATAGAAAAGCTATCGTTTTTTTTCATAATTTTCCTTTCGTTATTGTTATGTGTTTTGTTTATAAAGAGGGGGGGGGGGGGGGGAGGTGCTCTTTTAAATGTTTAAATTTTAATTTAGACAAGGATTTGTATAGTAAGACTTACTATACAAATCATTGATCTAGGCAAAGTCAAAGGTGTGTTACATTTTTAGGAGCGCATGATTCTTACTTTCTGGTTTGCAGTGTAGGTTTAAGCTCTTCATGAATTTACTTTTTAAAAACCCCATGTGCACTTTCTTAGGGCATGATTATTAATATATCTATGCATAGAGGGGACGACCATTTGCTATTCTAGGTACATGTAGGTGGCTGGAGGTGAAACCTGATCCGTTCGCAAAAGTACCTGTTCGCTCTTGGTCCTTTTGCCCTTATACCCATTCCCCAGTTCTTTTATTTTATTTTGTTGTTATGTTTAATGTAAATTATTTGATAAAGTATGGAAAAGTTTGTTGTGAATTAACCGCATTAGCCATACATGGGAAGTAGTACTATGCAATTGAAGATTTCTTGCTTTTGAGCAATTCTGTGCTACTGCACAATACTTAATATAATAATTTACACATCCCGTTTAGTGTGTATCTCCTGCCATATCAGTATTTTTTTGCTTTTATATATAAATCAGAAATAAAGGAAATAAAAATATGAAAAAAAAATCCCCCTCCCCAAAATTTTTTTTAACCACCCCTTGGAATAATTACCCCAAAAGTCAATCCCAGCCTTCCCTTTGTGGTATGGTACCTTGCAGTACAATTTCAGAGAGATACATACACTTAAACACAAGTTATTGTCTGGAAACTAGAAAAATGCTTGTTTTTTGGCCTCCAATTCCTGAACATTTGGAGCAATTACCCCCAAACTCAATCCCAGTCTTCCCTTTGTGATATGAAACCTCGTGGTACAATTTCAGAGAGATCCATACACATACACACAAGTTATTGTCCGGAAACTACAAAAATGCTTGTTTTTGGCCCCTAATTCCTAAGCTGTTAGTATCATAACCCCTAAAATCAATCCCAACCTTCCTTTTGTAGTATTGAACCTTCTGGTAAAATTTCATAGATTTTCATTCACTTTAACTAAAGTTATTATCCGGAAACCAAATATGTCTTCGAACGACGCCGACGACGACATCATAGCATTATACGACGCAAAAATATTTTTGCGGTTGTATAAAAATCAATGAAATATTTTAAAGGATATAATGTAGCTAGCCATATGAAATATTTATTGTATGTTGTGCACCTCTTTTCTCCTTTCAGTGGCAGGGGCTATGTTGTATGGTTGGCTGTATCATAACTTGTGATAGGATATGGTTATGCAGTGTTGAATCCCGGTCCCGATTGCACCCTCAAATTGATAGGGATACAATAATTAAATTCTTTCACTCAATCTCAACAACAGGGCAAAAGTGAGCGAAATCAATTTAAGCATACTAGATTTTATTTAAGTATGTGATATGTGATAAATACTAAAAAGTGAGCTTATTTGATAAAATCTAGCCTTGTGATACAATTTCTTGAACAAATATCAAGGCAAAGTTGAGTTCTTCTACAACATTTGGGTAAATGTCTAATTTTCCATGAATAAAGTCCAATAATTCTGGAATGGCAAAACTTGAATTCGTCAAAAGCAAAAGGGAGCTTTCTTAAAATTACACTTATGCAAAATAAAAGGAAAACACTTGAGGCAAGAGGGAAGATAGATACGATTGTTAAAAGTATAAAATAAAACATGTGGAATCTTATTAATTATATAACAGTGATATTGCTTTGATAAAAAATTTCATGAAAACAACTGAGTCAATAATCTGAATTAAAAAAAAAAAGACTATTGCAAGATTGCACATATATTCACTACATGCTCTTTTTACAACACTTTAGAGCCCATAGTCTGCTAAAGTTTCATTTATTAAATTTTGCAAAAATGTCTACTAATAATCACTTGAACTACCTCAGGGTTATCTGGTGGGGTTACCATTCTGTACGTGAATCAGATGACATGAATATATCTCTCTTAACAAATTTCATATAAATAGCTAATTCCAGGTATCAAAATTTTTATCCTCCAGTAAAATTATTTTTCTGATGTGTTGTGTACTGAAATTAAGAAAATATTTTGTTAATTAAATTAAGTTTGTTAATTCCATCTAAAAGTAATAAAGAATGAAATTTATAATTTATTGTATTTCATTGTTATGGCCATCTATGACTCCAATATGGTCTGCTCAAGTCATTCTCTTATCTGAAAAAAATATGGTCAAATTTATTAAAACACTTCAGGATATGATGCACATCATGTAAGAGTTACTTCCCTTATATTGTTTTTAATCATATAAATGCATTTTAAATTACTGTACACTTCATTCTTGAAATTAGGTTTTAAATCCAAATGAAACAATATTGACATTTATACAGCATAGATAATAGAATAAAATCTTTAAACTATTAAAGTATACCATTTGGCCTAAAGTCTGTGTAGGATTACTTGACCCATATCCTATAAATTTAAAGTCCTGTCCTAATTTATTCTATTGGGAACTTTCATGTCTGAGTCACAGTCTGACTGTTAAATGGCTTATGCAGAATATTTTCAGTCTGTTTCCTTATGAAACAGTTTGAATACCATGTATATTATGTTTTGTTTCATATTTAGGGGATTGAAATCATAGCACATTGTAAATAACCCACTTTTGTAATTACCCTAAACAGACACTTTTGGATTACGTACCCCTAATATATTGTAGTCCTATTATTTTCTTTTAACAAAAATAATTTTGCTTTCAACATCACTCTATTAAAATGTGTTGTAGCAATCACATAGACATTCCATTTGATTACTGTTTTCTTGTTGCATGTATATCATACATGTACACATTATTGTTTATATATAAAAGTCCTCTGTTTTGAATATTTTATCCATAGTAAACATCTTTCTCCATCCTGTAAATATAAGGCAAATGTACATTCAATTACTAAATGTATAAAACTAAATAATTCTCAAAACACGAATACAAATTTGCCAAATAAATAACCTAGAAAATACATGTACATGTATTTATTAAGTATTATAAATAATTATGCCCCCAACATGTTTGCTCAATACATAAAAGTTACAGGCAAAGAAAACATTTCAAAGTCTTGAAAAATAATTTTTAGGTTTTACATGGAGCAAATTTATTGAAGTTATACCAAACCATTTGATAACATTTTTATATTTAATATTGTACATAAAACCAGTGTACAATGCATGCTGAAATTTTATACATTTTTGGGGTCACTCACAACCCACTTTTTAAATCTTGGAACCACCACTGTCAAGACTGTATTGACAACTTGAATTTGATAATATTAATGAAGTTTGAGAAAGTAATATTATTAATGGATTATCATTTCTAATTAGATTGTATATATAATTATTGGAAGAATATAACATGTCAGATTAAAATAAATTGCACAGGCATTAATTTGTTAGTTTCTGGTGATACATGTAATGCATGTGTAAGGTTTCAAATGGGTGGGTGATTGGTTAATTTCAACGTGTAATTTGTTTTTATAATTTCAGAGATATGACTTTAGATGATGGCTATCTAGTTAATTCTTTTATGGGAAAGAAGGGAGGGGGGGGGGGGGGGGGGGTCTTATGGAAATGAACATAATGAATATTCTGATCTGGTACATACCCATGTAATCATCATGAGCATGGTAATAACTGAACATAAACTAAATATTACTCAAGATTGCTGACACAGGATGGAAATGACTATTCTTTGCAATAAAATGCAGGAAATAATTGTGTACAGATTGAAAATAAATTAATAGTCATACTAGCAAAATGAGAAAATGAATATAAGGGGTCATATGTCCCCTTATACATGTTAAATTCCTGCTATCAACCCACATAGTTTTTTTTTTGGTATGAGTATGGATAGTGAAACCCCTATTAACAGAAACAAGTGCCTGTGATCGCTTTCCCTTTGTATTTTATGTTCATGGAAGTTTTTATAAATATTAAATTTTGATGTATATGAACATGATGAAATGGAACGAATATATTTATATTAGACCAGGTATAAAGTAGCCAAGAGTTTAAGTGATTGTGTCTCACATGCTAATGATCTGGTACATGGACTTTTGTGTTGAACCTGAGACGTTCGACAAATTTCATGTAGTATATTACGGGAAAAAATTACCCCCCTTTTTAGAGAACTTACACTTACAGTCGGCATGTAACGTGATCATCCGTGCATTCCAATTTAATTCATTTTGGTCCGTATTTGCTGTTAGCGGTTTATAATATGTTCTATTATCTGAGCACGAAGTGATGGCGTTTACATTTCCAGGAAGATTGTGAAATACACTTTCAACATTAGTTTCAAAACGGATGTTGACAACTTGTGTGGGTATAATATTTCCGGAGACAAGGGCGGATACCCAAGACCGAAATCCGAATGTAATTCACCAATGGTTGGTGTAAATTGTGGATTCAGTATATGAATAGGAAATGTCAAATGATGAAAAATGGGATTTATATTTTACATGTTTCATATCATTTTACCCCTTATTTTTGCCGTTTAAATCATTTCTTGAGATCACACTTATTTGAAAATAATTAACTGAATATCTGAAATAAGCCTTGGCCTTTTATTTTGTGTGGCATAAAGTTTAAGCATCCAAGAATGTCATAAATGCAACTTCACAGCGTGGAATGCCAAATCAAACGTCATACAATGGCCGCCATTACGTGTTGACAACGTCGTCTAGTGAACCGTATCACTGAGCACCGAAATCCTTACCCAGACGCTTCCGGTTGTCCTACTGTAAATAGTGACCAAAAGGGTACCGCCATCGCACGAGAGAAGCTAGAAAAAAAATGAATTGTACACATTTTCGACATTTTTGTTGGACCATCATATACAATTAAGGGGTGTGGTCTCATTGTCAATATATAGAAAGATATTCATAGTCCAAAGAACAAATAAGCGAACAAATTCAAATGCGGATCCAGGATAAATTTTGAAAAAAGGGGTGCCCGGGGGCCCAACACTAGACAACGTTTGGTGTGGAGCAGGTAAATAGTCTGCATCAACCATAAATGTAGCCTTTATGAGGGGTGACCCGGGTCGCCTTCCCCTAAATCCGCTTCTGAAAATAAAGGTAACCACAGGGCCTTCAATGTTTCATATCTCTGGTCCGGGTTGAAAAATAAATGACATGACTTTGAAAAAAACAAGAATTTTAAGCGATAAGGAATAGATCAAAGTTGAGTGACATCTATTAAAGTGTTTGAAATAATTATGAAGTCGACAAGAAATGAGCTTGTTCAGATAATTTACAGTCAGACTACAGACTCGTTGTCTCCTGCTTGTAAACATATGTCTGCCTACACAGTGCTTTCCTAAAATGATTTGATATCAATGTGATCGTTTTCAGGATGAACGCTGAGCGTATAATGATAAGATAAATGTAATGTTTAAGCAAATTATCTATCCAACTAAGTAAAAGATTTAACTTGAACTTCTAAAACAATGATAAATCTGCTGATTCATATCGTACCATTCTATGTTTTGTGAAAAATAAAGAAATTTGACTTACCGGTATGCTACCATTATATTCAGCATTGTTAAAGTCATGTTCAAAGCAGAATTAATGGAACGCATGCAATGATTTATTTTCAATATTTTGTGCAAGAGAACGCCATGTTTACTGCACTGTGACAAAATTTCAAATGACGTAATACAGCCTGTGACGTCAAGAGTGATTCGCCGTCATTCGACGCGATAAAGTAGTTCGTTTATTATTTTCTCTATTATTGTAGTGATTTTTATTTTTTCATAATTACCGATAAAAAGAATAAAGGACTTTTTGTTTTTGATACAGACTTTATCACTGTAAAATATCAGGCTCGCCCTTCGGGTTCATCTGATATTTTACTGTCATAAAGTCAGTATAAAAAACAAAAAGTCCTTTATTCTATATTTATCGTAAATTGTCAATGATTCAGTATAAGACCCTGCTATAACAGTGAATTATATGGCCCTAATATAACAGTAAATAGTATGACCCTTTTCTACACTTAGCTTTTTATTATACGTTTAAGTTAGCTATGGATTCTTATTTTTTCTGTATTAATGAGATTCCCATCAGCAAATACTATTTTCACCTATTTAGACCATTTACAAAGGTGAGATATTACTGTCATTGAACTTATGTTGCCAGTAATTTTTGTAAACATTCTACAAAACAAACATAAGGCAAGTATAAGCTTTTTTGTACAAGTAGAAACAAATCTTTAAATCACAATTGTTAATAGAGACAGGATTTCTATTGCAATTACACTGCATCCTCGTCAATTTCTGTTTATATCAGTCAAACATTTCTTACAAAATCGTGGCAACCAACAACAACATATTCCTTTAGCCATCTAACTGATGTAATGGTTCCATGTATGTTCTGCGAAAAACTTTGGATTGTGGTTACTTCAAGTCTTTCTACGTAAGTTGTGCTTTGAACATATCTAGAAATCAACGCCACTTTGCTTATATGAATATTATACTAAAGAAATCGGATACGGGTCACGGAAATTATATTGAAACGATAGGAAATTTTGAAAAACAATGTCTGTTTTAACTTTAATTTAAGTGATAGACAGGTTGCGGGGACAGAAAATAAATATAAACAACAATATACACCATTTAAACGAAACATAATGACTGTCGTTGCAAAAATCAAGGTTCCTCAGCTATTTTAAAAATCGAAGCGAGAGGCTTTTATCATTGCAGTATAAAATACAGGCTAAAATGGCTGAAACATCAAATTTGCAAACTTCGTGTTGAAAATTGGCTAACACGGTCATTACAAAAACAGGTTGCGGGGATGAAACTTGAAACTTGAATGTCCAAAGAATAAGCAAGTCCAAACCCTTGTATGTGTAGTCGTTGAACTCTAGGTTCCCACGTAAAGTTAAAATGCCCCTATTTCAAGAAGAATAAACTCACGAAAACACGAAAAATTCACTAAGTTCGCGTTCATTGTTTTGATTTTGACCGCCTGACAACTTTACGGAAATATCAGAGTGATTATAAACAAGGACTCTGTGACTGGCAACTTATATTATCCGTGTTTTAAAGATTTTAATGATATCAAGCCAGTCCAGTTCAAACTATTATCACGTGGTACAATTCTCACTTACATATTATGAATATTAATTAGCAAAAGTACTACTAATTTCTGTCTATGAAGGGTATAAGTGAATTAGTAAATATACAAAAAAGAAGATGTGGTATAATTGCCAATGAGACAACTCTCCACAAGTGATCAAATGACATAGAAGTGATAAACCATAGGTCAACGCACGGTCTTCAACAATGAGCAAAACCCATACCGCATAATCAGCTATAAAAGGCCCCGAAATGACAAATGCGAAACAATCGAAAAAAGAAAACTAACGGCCTGATTTAAGTACAAAATAATGAACGAAAAACAAATATGATATATAGCAACAAACGACAACCACTGAATTACTGGTTCCTGACTTGGGACAGGCACATACAGAATGTGGTTGGGTTAAACTAGTTAGTAGGCGCCAACCATATCCTTAACCTCGGACAGTGGTGTAACAGTACAACATAAGAACCAACTATAAAAATCAATTGAAAAGGGCTTCACTCATCAGATCGATACAAAATAAGCATGTCATACTGTAAAGTGATTGTAAATACGGAAATCTACAAAGGACACACTTAGGTCTATTTTTAAAAGCGAGCTTTGAACTTCTTCAAACAATTTGTTGATTTGTTCCTCAGAGACAAAATTACTTCACTTTTTCAAAATCCCAATCATAAAAAGAGGAGGACGGGCCAAAGTGGATATTTAAAACACAGAAACAGACAGAAAGAGACAACGCCATGGCAAAATATTTAAACATGTAACAAATTCCTCTCGTTTGAGTAATTTTGTCAATTGAAATAGAACTTTGTTTATTAAAATTACTTAGTCTTTTACACGTGTATCAAATAACAGTCACAACTACACTGAGCGGTCAAATAATATACCTCTGAACATTTGCTGCATTTATCATCTCTAGAAAACAAATACTAATTGACATATTTTAGTGATATGCAAAATAAGGATAAAGATGATGAAAATGTTTACTTAAAGTCCAGTGGCAAATTAAATGTCTAAGTCTGCCTCATGTCTTGACTTAATCTTAAATTCCACTGAGTTTTAGAAAACAAAGTAAAATATCTTAATGAAATCTGTGATAATGAATTAAGTTCACAAAAAGTAAAATATATTAATAAACAAATTGAAGATACAGAAAAAAGTCTTGAAAAAATCTATGCAGAAAAAACTAAGGGAGCCCAAATAAGATCAAGAATTAAATGGATTGAGGAGGGAGGAAAGAATTCAAAATATTTTCTTGGTTTGGAACAATGTAGCAATTACGCAAACATATTACATCTCTAAAAGATAACCAAGGCGAAATAGCAGATGATCAGAGTAAAATATTAAAAATAGAAAGAGAATATTATCAAAATTTATATACATCCAAAAAACCATATGTAAAAGATATTCAAGAGTATGTTGAGGAAACTGAAAATGATTACACCCTATCTCATGAAGAAAGTAATGAATGAGAAGGAAAGATATCACTAGATGAATGTACAAAATCAGTTTTGAAAATGAAATTAAATAAATCTCCAGGAATTGATGGATTAACAGTTTTATAAGACCTTTTGGCCATATATAAAAAACTTAGCAGTTTTTGTGTTAAATAAATGCTATGAAAAAAAAGAACTTACAGACAATCAAAAGATCGGATTTATAAATATTATTTATAAAAAAAATGAACCACTTAATCTTGATAATTACAGACCAATAACTTTGTTAAATGTAGATACTAAAATATTTTAGCTTATTCATTAGCTCAAAGATTAAAACCAGTACTTCACAAAATTATTCACAGTGACCAAAATGTCTATGTGAAAATAGATATGTAGGGTTTAATATCAGACAGATTCAAGATATAATTGACTATTCTGATAAATTCAATGTAGATGGAGCAATCTTATTTCTTGACTTTTCAAAAGCGTTCGATTCCTTAGAATGGGAGTTTATGTACTTCGCATTAAGAAAATTTGGTCTACAAAATTCTATTATAAATTGGATACAGACTTTATATTAAAATATTAAAGGATATGTAAGAAATAATGGTTGGATCTCTACGCCCGTTGACATTCATAATAATATCCTTAATATAATAAAAATATTTTGTTCTTTATCTGGTCTTAAACTGAATAGAGATAAAACAGAAGGTTTTTGGCTAGGAAATCTGAAAAGCAGTAGAGATAAATATGAAAATATAAACTGGTCAACAAAGCCAATAAAATGCTTAGGAGTATACTTTGGATTGAATGTGAAAAACTAAACTTAGAAAAACAGATAACTAAATCCGAGAAAATTATCAAAGATTGGTTTAAAAGACAACTTACTATCTGAGGCAGAATTATTGTTGTAAAGTCTTTAATAGTTCCTAATTTAACC